GTTTTGAGTTACCTTTTCTTCAAGACAAAAATTAAGTTTATTTTTATCAAAATATCAAATTCTTGAAGATGTGGGTGTTTAATTCTAATACTTTTGTATTTACACTCAATGACGGTTTGTCTATAATTAAATGTTCCAAGGCAGGAACAACAAAAGAAGTGACAAATGCTGAAAATAATTGACACCTGATGCACTGGATTGCAAAATGAAAAAGCTGAAATGAAATGAAAAAGCTATTGGAGAAGCCATAGTTTCACAAAAAACAACTCTAGGGTCATTTTGTTTTGTTCCTTTAAGCAAACTCGTCAAAGTTCCAGTTTGAACTGGCAGGAAACTGACCTGAAACAGTGTTATAGGTTAAATATTGTGCCAAAATATAAAACATCCCATGGTGCATCTCTGCAAGAAATGTATCAAGAAAAAAATCCAGCCTCTGAAAAATCTGACTGGAATCAGCAGCTTCACATTCCCCCTGACTAACCCAGTGTCTCCATCAACAAAACACACAGTGCATGATTAATAAAGTATGTAGTGTTTTTTGTTTGGCCAGAAATAATGGACAAAGTGACTTGTCAAGTTGAAATAATGAGAAAACAAAAACAATTCCACTGTTATGACATAATTAATTTAGAACAAATAAGGGAGGTGGAGAAATGAGGACAACGTTGATGTAACAGAAGAAAAAAATACAACAGAAATAAACAAAAAAGTACAAATTTACAGATGCACAAAAATTTCACTTTAAATATTTTTGGCTCGCCTGATAAGCAAAAACGAGAATTTCAAAATAAAACAAACAGAATTCAACTAACAAATTTAACAAGTTTCTGTAAACTTTTTTTTTGATAAACAGCATAGTTTTTTTAAACTCTCCCAAAAAAATACAGCCCTGTATATTTCTCATCAGAAAGGCCAGTTAATGTGATTTGTTGCACAAGATTCTCTCATATATTCCCGTCTCATTGTGTTCTACTGAAATGAACAATGCCTAATCTCGTGTGAGCACTTGCAGAAACTATACAAAAGCAGCTTCATATTTAAATGACTCAGCATGTAAACGTCTAAATTTTCATCCTGAGCAAAACAACTCAGTCTCTCTGTACAGTGCTCTTACTTGCAGCTGCATGCAGTTTGAGCCCAGAAATGATTGTGCAGAACCCACGCATGCATGTTGTGTACGTATAAACAAACGTGCTCTAGTCGTTTCACTGGCCAGCACAAACAGGGAAAAACGAAACAAAACAAAAAGACTTCCATTCCTGAGGGCTCCATCTATTTCAGGTTGAAGCGGATGTTTTGTTTGTTTGTTTGCGATCTCGCACTTAGCTTGTTGCTATGGAACTAGTAAAACAGGCAGAAAACCGGTTCATGTGTCTGATTTGCTGTGTCTGTTTTCACCGCTCAGGTTTGTGACACCGGCAAGCTGTCTGCCCGTGACAACCAGCGAAGCAGTACACAACGTCTACTACGGCAGACAACCACGGCTACCAAAAAACAGCTCCGCAGTATGTGACACAAAGCCTTAGTTTTATACACCCTAATGCTGACTCTCAGAACTAGCGCATGAACGTGACGTTTCAGTACCATTTCCTCTTCTTCCCACTTCAAAATAATTGCGCTGCTACATTTACAAAGTGCTCACGACGCTTCTTCGACAAGGTGCAAACTCCTCGGCTTCCTGCGAGGACAGGAGCGGAAAAAGAATCACAAGACCTGTGGGGAAAAACAGAAACAAGTTGAGAAGCAACTTACTCTAAACTCCCAACTCTCAAGTGAATTTACAGCTGTGGACTGGCCTCCATTAATCTTGGCCACATGAGCAGATATGCTGCTCTTTGCTGACCGGAAGGAATTTACGAGCTCGTGTGATCGAGGCAAGAAAAGTAGCCGGGTTTTGGCTCGTTTTCTGAGCTTCAAATTGAAGACTCAAATAAACAAATCCAAGTCTGTTTAAAAGCACCTAAGTTGTTCTAGAACAGGGGTCTGCAACCTGCGGCTCTGGGGCCACATGTGGCTCTTTGGTCCCTCCATATTGGCTCCTTGAAAATGTGACCAAACATAAATTTATTTATCTGATTTTCATACAACAGAAATCAAACATGTTAGCTCATGCTAGCCTGATGTTTACCTAAATATTCCAATTTCTTTCTACCATCTTTCTCTCAAATCCATCAGAATTACCTTTAAAGAATTTAAAGACTACATTATAAGAATAATTAGAAAACAATATGCCTGCATAGTTCAGTTGTAGTAGTTTTTATGAAATTTGGTGTAAACTACAGTATTTTTCTTGTTTACATCAATACGGTCTTTTCATTTGTCCTTATGTGTAAAAATTGTAATAAGTAATCAAAATGACAATATATTCTTTAATTTTATAGCGTCACCTCCACTGGCCGTAAAGGTTCCCAAAAAGGCCTCGAAAAGGCCAACGGACCAGCAGTTGATAATCACAGTTGTAGCATTTTTTGTGGCTCTGAACACATTTTATTAGCGAGACAATGAGCAGAAACGACTCTTTTGATCATGAACGTCGCAGACCCCTGTTCTAGAAGATCATTATGAGCTAAGAGTCCAACCTCTGTTAATCTTAAAGTGCTCTCGTCTCTGCCTCGATCTTCCTCTCTCCGTGGAGGCTGTCCGGGTCAGCGGGGGCCACTGTCTGTCTAATTGCGATCTCAGGACCTCCACCATATAAGCCCAACAGGTACAGCCATGTCTCCTCTGAGATCTGTCCATAGTCTGCACCTGAGGGAAAAAAGCAGCATAAATATCCCCTTTGTTTAATCTATTTACCTTCACTTCTTCTTGTAACGTTTCTCACTCAGTAGAGGTTTACCTTGCTTCAGCTGGATGTGTCCTCCTTTCATAATGCCAATTTTACTGTTGTCAATAGGACCAGGTGGCTCTGAGAAGGGAAATACTTTGTAAAGACAAAGAAAGAACTTGCACGTGCAGCTCTACAGTTTCTCTCTACATTGTCATACCATTGTCTTTGCCCTTCACGAAGCTCTCCCACTCTCTGAACCACTGCATGCTGATACACAGGATCACTGTGGGAGCCTCCTCGGCCTGAAACTCTTTGTTCAGCTGCAGACCAGAAACAAAAAGGTCTTGCAAACTCAACCACCAACCATAAAAGACTTACCAAAAAGAAAAGAAAGGAGCTTTAAGAATACAGGCGTTAACCTTGATGAAGGTGTCAATTTCAGTTTTCCTTCGTTTGGCCAGAGCTTCGATCTCCACCTGGCAGATGGCGCACATGTACAGGTGGTTGACTGCTGGGCCGCCTCCAAAACTGAAAACATCAAAAATAAAGTGAGCGTTTTATAAAGACATTATCAGAAGTCACATTGACTAATCAGCACACTGTACTAATTACAAATTGTAGCTTTTACATTTGGTAGAAATATTAAGATAAGTGTCCCGAGCTGACCAGGAAGAGCTACAGCTTCTGTTTGAGTTTGCAAATAATTACCGTACACAATTTTACATTAATAACAGTATCAAATCCATAACAGTGTAAAAGTTTACAAAAAAAAATTAATTCTCATGAACCGCTATAAAAGTGAGAAAATTAGACACGTTCAGAGATGGAACCACTGGAACCCCAGCTCCTCAACCTGATCAGGAATAGGCCCCGCCCACACTACTTCAGATACAAACACAAAGTTTTAAAGGAGAAAGAGGAAATAAAGCATATTTTGAAAGTCCTTTCCAGAGAAGAACTAAATATTATCTAAAGAAAAAAAGTCTGGGGAGATTATTTAGTCAGGCTAAGCACATTTTCTCTGTTTTTTTAATAAGTTGTTAATGTGAACATTAGCAATGTTTTTGATAGAGAAAACATGAACAGAGCACCATAAAAATATTTGCAGTGTAGGAGAGACTTAACTATTTTTCCAAACTACGATCCTCCAAAAAGTTATCATCAACAGGTAAGATACTGATTAATCATAAAGTAAGAACTTTGGGATTTAGGTGTTCTTTTATTCAAATGCCTGGTCACCTAAATCATAACTTTTTGAACATTTACCTGTTGTAAAGGTATTCCCACACATTTTGAGGAACTATCACAACCAGGTCGTCGATGTAGTGGTATTTATTAGGAGGGATCCCTGAGAAGAAATAAAATATATTTACCATATCTGTACTAGAAATCATTTTCCCCCTTTCTAAATAAAAACTGAACACTCATTCTTTCTGTGTTTATGTAAAATAATGATCGACAGCCATGTTTGTCTCATTACGAAATGTAAAAATGCAACTTATGATCATGTAGAAAAAAAAATGCTGCGCCTTTTTTCTTCTAAATCATGTATGTAGCTTTTTTTCAACACACCTTTCATGTTTGAAATGTAAATATTGACTTTCGGTCCACAAGCTGTGTAGTAAACAGTCATAAGGACAGCTGAACTTTCTGTGAACTTTCTGTGCTGAAACCTTGTGTACGCTCTATTTGTGACACGTTAACGTAATTCTGGTCTCGGAAACACTTGAATATTTGTCCCCTGACCTCCGTGTTGACAGAGGAACGTGTGATTGCTGATGGGGCCCGGTTCGGCGAAAGTGTTGAACTTGTTCAGCCATTCTCTGGAGATGTAGAACTGCAGCAGGCTGGGCTCCTTCATGTTGGCCAGAGCCACCACCTTCTGCCTCTCCCTGACCGACTCCTCGCTGCTTTTCCTGCATGGATCGTTGGGGAAAAAAGGTGTTCGAATAGAATAGAATAGAATAGAATAGAATAGAATAGAATAGAATAGAATAGAATAGAATAGAATAGAAACATTTATTGTCCTGCAGAGTGTAAATTCAGGTGTAAGAGCAGCAGCAGATACATCAATCCACAAAACAATATATTGCTACATGATATCAACAGTAGCAATAATAATAGAATTAAAAATAAAAATTAAAAATAGAATAAAATAAAATGACTGTACAAGGCTATAAAATGTTAGTAGCACTCTTAAATGAATCTGTGGATAAATGCTATACTTGCCTGTAGAACAGGACATAGGCCTCAGCATTCTGCACCACGGTCTCATGGACCTCTGTCACATACTGATCATCAAACTCGTACCACTGACCATTGATCACATTCTGACAGTAAGCTATATAGTGTCCACCTGTGTTGATAAAGAGCAGGAGAGGAAGTCTGACAAAACAAAGTTACAAAGAACACATAAACCAGAGAGTACTTGCACATGCATGCTCAGCCCCACATAAAGGTTGAACCAAAATGAAAACAAAAACAGGATTTCCTCTTGTCTGGAGGAAACCCTCTCGTTTCGTACTTCCTGCTGTGCCATGGTGGCAGATGAGCGACAGCAGATCGTAAGTGGTGACTTGAGACGGACTCTCTTTAGCCAGGAAAGGCCGCATGTCAAGGCCCTCCAGTGGGAAGGACACGTGATTGCTGATCTTGAACGAATACATGACCTCGTGCCGGAAACGCTTCAGGTGAATGCAAAGAATCTAAACCAGAAAGACACAAAAAAAAAAAAATAACACTCAACGCATCATCTTGTAAAATATAAAAGGAAGAGACGATAATCAAATGACAAAAAGCATACCTCTGGAAGTTTAAGCACTTTGCAGTATTTGACACCATTTCGTAATCTGTTTTACACAAAACAATGAAATACATAAACATACAGGACTTTCATTTCTTCACTCGTTTATGGTACAAACTCACTTTTTACATCTCTCACAGCTGTACATGTTGTCTCCTGAAAAAAAAAAACCAAACAAACAAACAAACAAAAAAAATAGAACTTCAGACACAATACTGCTTTATGGTAATAATACATCAGTCATGTTTACCTTTGAGTTCATCTGCAGCAAAAAAGGCAGCAAGGCAGTCCTCCAGTGTTACCATGGGCCCCCAGAACCAACTAGGGATGCATGAGACGACAAACCTGTTCAAAAACACACCATCACAGAGGTTATGGATAATCAATATCTCACCTGTCATAGGCAGCTCTTTGAAAGACTTTGGAGAAATACAGTTTATTGGCTCTTTCAGAAGACTGTACTGCAATCAGCCCATTCCGTGTTGATGCTCCCTATGGCAGTTCAGAAGTCACAGATGGAGACGCTCTCTTACCGCGCTCTAATTTCAGAGTGCTTTAATCAGTGTGGAATCAAAAGAAACGTGGAAAAAAACTCAGCTGCTCTGATCTGTTGCTGTCAATAGAGCTGCTGATGAGAGCAACAGGAGTGGCAGAATGTTTCTTACCCCTTGTGTCACAAAAATGTTAATCTTTTTAGGGTTTTAGGTAGGGGTGTAAGAAAATATCGATACACTGAAATATCGCGATATTTCATTTCCCGATACTGTATCGATATTCTAAAGCCCTGTATCGATTTTTTTATTAAGGTTTAAAATGTCAAATTTCCTGCCAGCCATTCATTTTTATGTTGTAGTTCAGCCTCTGACCACTAGTTGGCAGCAGTGAGCCAGACATTTGGCTCCTCTACCTCTTGAGGTAGAGGCTATTGTTAAGTGTTGGGTGACCATATTGTAAATTAATATTAAAAACTACAATCCCATGTAAACAATCAGGTGATGTGAAACTCGCATGTTAAGCTTGTCACTCCTGCCAGAAATAAACTATTTCTCTAATCTGACGCTTTTCACAGAGTTATCGAAAACAAACAAGATAATAATTGTTCCGAACATTTCCATGTAATCCCACTTTAGATTGTCTGATGGAAAGCAGAATATGAAAAGCCACTAAAGGGCAAAGAAAAGCTCAGTCATAACTCTACATATGCCCAGTTTTTCAATTCAAGATTTAACTGAATCATCAGCTTTTATTAATGTGAAAGTAAAAATATAGATTAGTAACAGTTGTAGGAATTGTTTGAGAGTAATTACACTGAAACCTACAGTATAAACCTGACAAACTGGACCCACAAGTTTGGCTCATTTACACCTCTTTGAGTTGCTAAGTGTATGAAGAAAGCTACAGCCGAAAAGTGACTCAGTCATGATGATTATATTTAAAACCTGGAGCTACTTGTTGCTTCCTGCCTCCATGCAAAAGATGAAATGAACATCTGATATTTTCCATGAGTTAGCAAACTTGGAAAAGAAAGTAAATCTACTCCCCTGTGCTATAAAAAATACAGTAGCCACAATATTTTTTTAAATCACAAACTGCCAATAAAAAGAGTTGTGATGAAGTCACACCTAATTATTGTACTTCCAAACTTCATTCCTCAACTCTTCGTCTCCATTTTAAGTTTAACATGAGAAAAAGTCAGAGTCGGCATCTTAAATTAAAGTCAATGAAATTGTGTGCAAACGACTTTTATTGCTCCTTGTTATGTTGAAAATATCTCACTGATTGTCGCTGAATCAAAGGCAGAAGAATGACACGAGATCAAAAACACACATAGCTTTCTCTTTACGATCTCTCCAACCAGACAGACACGCATCAAGTTCTATCATGACTCAAGGAATTCTGCTGCAGTGGAATGTGACACTCAACAGCAATAAATTTATCTCCATATGTTTTTGTAACTACTGGCTTTCTGATTTGGTTTTGTAAATAAAGAAGTGAAGAATCCAACAGCCTCAGGCCAGGTCACAGAGAAGATATTTCAGTACAACACAGGAGAAGGTTACAAACGCATCTGCGAACTTTAAAGCTGAGGTGAAGTCAGCTGCATGCCCTCACCTGCTTCATCCTGCTGTAAACATCCCAAACACCTTCACTGCAGATGATGCTCATCTTCCTGGAATCTATAATGTGGTTGATTTTCAGTAAAATGAAGTGGACTTTATACAAGGAAAGAAGGGAATGTGTCAAATCAAGATTCTACTTGTCTGCATTCTCTGTGAAAAACCACCCTCCAGTCACATTTCTCTCTTACTGCACCTCGGTGATGTCATAATGAACCCCTCTCCCACGTGTGTTTAAAAGCATTTGGAACATGTCGCCACCTCTACCGTCCATGTGAGGGACTTCTACGGAGTTCTTTAAACGTGCTTCACTGACCGGCGGATGGAGTCCATGATGTAGGAGATCCAGCCCTGCGAGCCGTAAGTGTCGGGACAGACTCCGGTCTTCACCGGCAGGTTCTGGTGGATGGAGGAGTGCAGCTTTGCCAGGTCTTCTTTACCGGGAATGGGGAGGGACAAGTCCTGGAAGGTTTCTACTGTGTTGGAGACCTGTCACACAGTCACACACAGACGGATTACGCTGCTGCTTGCGTTGGGCAGTGAAAGGAAAGCGTCAGCATGCCCGGGCAGCGTGACAACCGGAAATGATTTCAGTCAATTCTTGTAGCAATTGTGAAAATATTTTTGCACTCGTGTCTGATCACCTACACGTTTGTTTTTGTCTGCCGTGTTAGCAAAATATCTCAAGAACCACTGGATGGATTTTAGAAAAACTTTTTAAATCAAATCTTTTTGTGTATTTGCAACCAATTAACATTTAGAGTTAATTCAATTCAAGATGGCTGCCACAGCTTAGTAACACATAAATGGTAATAACTCAGCTGGTTTTATGAGCTAAAATTTGATTTAGTGGTAGCTGAGCATCATTTCCAACACATAATCAAACCACATATTACACACAGCCCAAGAAATACGCTTAAAGTTTTGGAAATAAATATGGCATTACCTCCGTCAGCAAAATATCTGATGAGCAACTGGACATATTCTAATTAAACTCTAAGAAACTACTTGCTGGATTAACATCAATAACTCATTAACTTTTGGTGTTAAATCAATTCAAGACGGCTGCCACAGCTAACCAGCCTTAGTCAATAGAAAGGTGGTTTAAAGATTCAGCTCCAGAGAATTTGTTTTGAATTACATAGATTAAAAAAATCCCTAAAAGTTGTGAGAATGAAGAAAGCACAAAACATTTTATTCTATGTACTCCCCGGTTTCATATCAAGGCTTTTATTGATAGAAACACCCTTTTTTCTGTTTAACTTACTTGTTTATTCTGTTTATTTTTGGCATTTCTTATTATGTATTTGTTTAAATATATACTTATTTATTTTATTGTTTGAATTTGTATATGTATTGCTCCTGTATGTTCTACTTTTAAAACTGCAGATGAAATGTATGATTGTTTTATGCTTTGATTGTTTTGTTAATAAAGTAAAAAAAACACACACACTAATGGCTACAACTTAGTCACATTTACATATGTTTCAAACATTAGCCTGAAATGTAAACCACAAATTGTAATTCTATGCGAGTCCTAAATGAAGCCTGAGTGTTTGTATGAAGAGCCCCCCCTGCTGTTCAAACACGTGAAGCACAGCTCACCCTGTCACAAGTTAAACACTGGACCAGACTCAGGATGGAGCCGTCGAAGATGTCCGAGATCACGCTGCGAAAGTGGGACTGCTTCTTCTTTCTGGAACTGAACAGCAGCTGAGCTGGAAGAAAAATGACCAGAACATCCCTTTAAGGCTCAATCTCCATTTTGTTACCTAGTTGGACAGCTTCATCATCCTACAACGCCAGAATACATCATAAAGTCAAATGGCTGATGAATGCAATGCAAAAATACTAGGATTAAGACTAAGTAGGTAAAATGTTTACAATATTCAGTGTAACATTTGTTATTATAGTGGTAAATACAAATAACCTTTTGATCAAATGTAAATTATTCTTCTTAGTACTAAACTGTTTTGTTAAAAAAAAAAGATTAATAAGAAAAAAATTTCTAGTGCGCACATCTCAAATTTCCTTACAAAAAAGAGGAAGCGTAAATGGGTGCCCGGTTCTGAAGAATCATAAACATGGGATAACCACCACTCCAAAATATACCACGTTTTTAATAAGGGCAGACTAATAAGTTGACGATGGCATGTAGCCGAAACACGTCCTGTTTTCTGCCCTTATTAAAAACATGGTATTTTTTGGAGTGCTGGTTATCTCATTTTTATTTATTTTTTTTAACTGATTAACATTTTTTAAAGTGTAACCAACAGCACTTTTCATGCTTTCATTAAATCAACATTTCTTCCCTCCATGAAAGGATGAACAAGGGAAAATCAATGCTTATTTCCAGAACTTGCATCACCACAGTAACAAAAACCTCAGTTTTTATCACTCATAGTTTGCTGACAGCACACAGAGAAGATGTTTTGTAATATAAGGGCTAGAATCCACTCTCACGTCAACATTTTATCCTGGTATAACGTCATCACAGTCAAATACAAAATCAAACTGTTCTGTATTATTAACCAGGCCAGCAAAATGACTGGATTACCACAAACACCTCTTTCTGAACTGTTTAGGAGCTCTTTACCCTGATCACAGAGGAGCCACCTCACCCTCACCCTTTCATACCGCTTGCAATATTCACCTTGAACTCCAAATGAGAACTGCTTTTCCTTTTAACAGTTAATGAAGTTAAACATTTCTTTTTCTATGTGACTTTTGTTTATGTGCTTTTATCTGTATTTATTAAGATGTCTGTGTGGGAATGCCTGTTGATGGAGCCCTTATCAAAGAATTTCTGTCACCAGATGGGACAAATGATAAAGCTATTCTATTCTATTCTATTCTATCTTTCACAGCTATCACGGCTGCTCTGACTATGCTATGTTATGATATTTATTCGACTGGAGATTAGACAAACAAAATCAATCCCAGGAAATGTCAATAAACTTTGTGTTAGCAGCAGCAGAACAAGCTCCTACCTTTTTTGAAGGAGTACGCGGGTCCTGCAGAGCGGAGGGGGCTGGAGCGAGGCGGGCTGGAGGACAGTTTGGGATGCAGCTCCTGAAGGGTTCGAACAGGACTGCAGGGAGTCGACTGAGGCTGGGTCATTGATGCTTCGTTGTCTGGTTCTAGAACACATTGGATTCCAGGCAGAGATTAAAAATGTAACATAAGCAGAACTAAATCAGATATTTTCTAATATTCCAGTTGGTCTTCCACCTGAGGTGTTGTTGATCTGGACTTGTCCCTGCTCCGAAGCAGACATCTGGTTGTTCTCCTGGTTTTGGATCTCTGAGTTTGGTGCGGGTGCCGGCTGCTCCTCCTCCCTCCTCTCAGGAGGCCCCTCCTCAGCTGCAGTGTCCACATCTGCATCCTCGTCCATCTCCTGCGAGGCCCCACGCAGCGGCGAGCCCGACACCCTCTTCTCCTTCAGTCTTTCCTTCTCCGAGATCACCGCCGGAGACCCGACGCCTACCACTCCCAGGGACGGGGACCTGAACCCATCGCACTCGTCCTGCAGGAGCAGCTCGCCGTCGCCCACCCCTCCTCCCTCCCCTCGGTCGCTGCTGGAGCCGGAGTCACAGGACAGGAACTCGTCCTCAGACGGGGAGCGGTCTCCGTCTCGCCTGTCGTCGGTGTCGCTTCCCTCCCCACTCAGGCTGCACTCCGTCAGCGGCTCCTTCAGCTCCTCGTGTAGTTGGTCCATCAAACAGCGCAGGAACTCTTGGGTGTCCTGGAGAAAGACGAGAGCAACTTAACTCCAGTGTAGATGTACGCCCAATGATTACTTTGAGTTTCCTTAAAAGGGATCCCCGATTAGTTGTAACATTAAACTTTTATTTGATAAACATTTATTTTAACTGTAAAATAAAGACTGTAAAAATACTGTAGGCTGTTTAGTTTAGTAAATTTTTAAAAATATATTTTAACTCATACGGAGCCATTTTATTTACACACAAAGCATTCTGGGTAAATGATGATGTGGATAGGTCCTCAGTGTGAGCGAGCTATATCCACCCTGAAGGTTGATCTTGGACAATATCTGACGATTGTCTCTTTTAAATGAAACCAGAGAGCGTTGACAGAGAGGAGAAGGTAGAAATGACTCAGCCTGGAACTGAAAATATGGATGGAGGACAACAGAGCTGCTTCATGGAAGAAGAACCTCAGCTTAGCCTGTTAGCCTTTGTGCTAGCCCTCACGCTATATTGCCTTATATAAATTAGCTCGGCGCTAGTGCGACAAACAAGCTAAATTGAGGTCCTCCATCCATATTTTCAGTTGCAGTCTGAGTCATTTTTGCGTTCCCCTCTCTGTCATGTGGATGGAGGACCTCAGTGACGACAAGAGAATGTGTGGCGCTGAGCTAATACATATATATGGTGATAGCGTCAGGGCTAATGCTAAAGCTAACAGGCTAAGCTGAGGTTCTTCTTCCATGAAGCAGCTCTGTTGTCCTCCATCTATATTTTCAGTTACAGGCTGAGTCATTTCTACCTTCTCTCTGTCAACGCTCTCTGGTTTCATTTAAAAGAGTCGATCATCAGATATTGTCCAAGATTAACCTTCAGGGTGGATATAGCTTGCTAGCAGCCTCGCACCGATGACCTAGTTGACATCATCATTTACCCAGAATGCTTTGCGTGTCAATAAAATGGCCCTGTCCGTGTAATATATTTTTAAACTTTTAGTTTAAAAATTATAAAAACTGAACATCCTACAGTATTTTTACAGTCTTTATTTTACAGTTAAAACATATGTTTATTAAATAAAGTCTAATGTTACAACAAATCAGGGATCCCTTTAAAACCCATCAGGTAGTTCATGACATATTTTCCTAACAGACAAACAGGGTGGACGCCAGCAGTTATTGTCAAAGTTTTATGTGAAATTGTCACGCACTGTGTGGACTTTAGGGTATGTGTTGGAGACCGAACCAAAATATAGCTCAGTATCTGTAAAACCAACTTTGTTATGGCATTTCTGTTTGCTAAGCTGACTGTCTTAAATGAACACAAATATGTGCAAAAACATTTAATGCTGTTTCACCTTTGACAGTAAGTGATAAAAAAAAACATACATGACTCAGTTTACTATAACAGAAGCTGGGGTTCTGTGGAAAAGTCAGAGCTACACAAATCACTGAGAAACTGTGTAAACAAGTATTTCACAATGATGTGGGCCTTTTCTGAACTAACTTATGGTGTATTTTTTTAATCACATCAGCATGTTTTGCAAGTTGACCCACTAAAGACAGCAATGACAAAAAATAAAAAATAAAAATCTTGTTCATATTGATCACAGATCAACTACAAAGCATGATGACCTTTTAAAACTAAGAACAAATAGAGTTAAAATGAATTTGAACAAAGTGAAGTCACATTCTACAGCCTGAGCTTAGCTGACGTTTTTTGTTTTTTGACTTTGGGCTTTGCTGTCTGGTGCCTGCCACAAACGATTATTTTTATAGTCGACTAATCACCGATTATTTTTTTCGATTAGTCGACTAATCGGATCATACGTTAACTGAATATAAAACATACATCTTATCGCGCCAAAATGCAGCTGCTATTATATAACCATCATTAGATTTTAGCTATATGCTAACTAAAAATAATTGCTGTGGAAGGCAAGTTCTGCCTTGCAGATACTGCATTGCACAGGTTTCTCTTTCATTTTCTTAAAATGATCCCACACTTTTGAGCTCCGTTGCTGGGTAGCCATGATACCAGAGCCTGTCTGTATAATGTCTTGTGACGTCCACAGCCCCCAGTTACCACTACTACTGTGCACGTGTGTCAAGGACAGAAAGGCAGATGTGGCAGTGGAAGGTGTCAAAGTAGTTTGGAGAGAAAAACAAAGTAAAAAAAAGACTAATCGACTATTAAATTAGTCATCGACTATTTTAATAGTCGATTAGTCGTCAACTAATTGACTAATCGTGGCAGCCCTAGGTGTGAACAGAAGCATATCAGCAAAACAGAAGAGCTGGTGAATGTATTCTGGAAACTTCACCAGTGAACATCCAAGGTCTCCACAAGTACCTGGATATTCACCTCAGTGACACACTGGACTGATTAACAACATTGACTCTCTTCTCGGACTCCATTGAGGTGGTTGGAAAGAAGAAGGTCATCATGGGCCATAATGTGGGGTAGATGCAGTGCAGAAGGGCAGGCGATATTGGACCAGAAAGTCACAGGTTTGACTCCCCATCATGACCACATGTTGTGGTTTCCCAGAGCAAGGCACCTAATCCCTAACTGCTCCCTGGCTCCAAACTTTCTCGCCTGTTTACTGAAGGGTATCAGAGAGGCTGATTGGAAGCACACGAGCACCACAGCAGGACCGAACTCTCACCATTTCACTCGTACCCATCAGACTTTCCATATAACCCAAAAGTGCCATCATTTGCAACAATACTCAGGTGACACAGGAGTTGTGTGAGAGGTGTTTTCAGTCACGAACCAGAGGCTAAATGGCAATGTATCAAAAAACATATAAACTCAAGAAAGTTGAATGTGAAAAAGAAAGGATTTTAGACAGAAAAATAAGACTGTTGGGCGCCTACCTGCTGGGCATAACCTCGAAACATGGGATTAACAAGTTTGATGCCGTGAGACAGGCTGGTCGGAACAACATAGCTGGGCCTGAAAGGGCAGAAGTCATGAGAAAGTCTGAGTTAAAGATACTTAGAATGAATGATTGGTTAGGAAATAGTAACCTTATTTTACAGAAAGTTGTAAAGCCAACAATTTAGAAAATGGTCTTATTTAGTTTTCTTTTTTTATAGATACCGCTTCTTGTGCCAGAGTTCTGAGATGAGTTTCTGGTAGCTTTTGCAAAGAGCTGGCTTCTTATCAGTCCGCACCAATCCACTGCAGTCCAGGAAGAACTGAGTGAGAGGAGGGCTGGGGAAGACAAAAACTACATCAACACAGCCCCTGGAAAGGAAAACACACAAACAAACAAAGGACAAAACGGAGCACTTTCATCATGAGGTTTAAGGTGAGGGGGGTGAGTGGACTCACCAGTTGGACAGAGCTTGAAGAGCAGCATTCATGTAACAGGAGTTTCCAATATTTTTCATTCCTGTCAAACCTATAAGCAGCAAAAACAAGCATGAAAATGTAGTAAAAGTCAGTTGCTGCTCTTAGCTCCAGAACAAAGTGCATATTACGATTTGTTTGGGTAGGCTTAAAACATTTTCTTGATCCTTTAAGGTCATGTTTGCTATTGTAAGGGTTGACATTATTGATTGGCAGTGTTGGAAAAATACTGAAATTTTGACAAGAAGTAAAACAAAGCTGTTTATTTTAGGTTTTTACCCAGATAAACTAAGAAAAAAACACCAAATACTTACAGACTTATAGTTATATTATTGGCAAAAAGAGTATCCTTTCATGGAAAATACCAGGAGATCAAAAATACATAGATGTTTGTTGGAGCTGTTTTCAACCCTTCCTTTGGATAAGAGTACTTACATAGTAAAACATCAAAAACATAAGATTACAACAGATTGGACTTGACACAAATGCTATAAATGCCCAGAGATGCATTAATAATAGCCATTAACAGTGCTTAGTGCTATTATCAGGTCTCTGGAAAAACGCCGTCAGGTCTCTGGAAAAACGCCGTCAGGTCTCTGGAAAAACGCCGTCAGGTCTCTGGAAAAACGCCGTCAGGTCTCTGGAAAAAACGCCGTCAGGTCTCTGGAAAAACGCCGTCAGGTCTCTGGAAAAAACGCCGTCAGGTCTCTGGAAAAAACGCCGTCAGGTCTCTGGAAAAAACGCCGTCAGGTCTCTGGAAAAAA